AATTCACTGGAGAAACATCAACTAATTTACTCTGATAAGGATATAACCAAGGGTCGTTTGTATACGGTGACATTATTGGCTAACAAAAATCTGTAATTCAGTTACTGTTAAATAGGGCATGAATAATTTGACAACAAAATTATTACATATACATGGCACCCTATTCTTAGGGTAAAACTGTCTAATTTCTGAAAATTCAGCAGAGCTATTCTCTGAAACTTTGGAAATAATAAGCAATTAAACAATGAGATAAATACACAATATATTAAAGGCATAATTAATCAAAGAAAGCAATTTTCTTCAGCTTTAATATGGATTTGGGTTAGGAGAGGTCAGTCTATGTGCAGGTGAAAATGTTTGAGCTAATTTTAGAATAATTAAAAATTTAAATGGCCAGGGGCCCAAACAATCTGAGATTATACAGTTAAGTTGGAGGACTTACATGATAAAACAAGGTTTTTATAAAACTACAGTAAGACAGTGCTGTATTTTATAACAACAGTTAAATAAACTAATGGGTTAGAAATAAGAATTTCAAAACAAACCTACAAATATAAATTGAAATTTGATTTATGGCAACACGGAAGAATAGTGAAAAAAGAAAGGTCTCTCAATAAAGTTAGATATTCACATAGAAAAAGTAAATATGGGTTCCTTTCTCATTTATTCCAGATACATTGTTGATTTAAATGCAAAAAAAAATATTAAAGCTTCCAGAAGATAACATGAATAATAACTTCATGATTTGGGTAGACAAAGATTTCTCTAGACTCAAAAGAGCAATAACTATATGGAAAACAACTGATATGGAGAAGTACATCAAAATTAAAAACATCTCTTCATCAGAGGCACCATTTAGAGAGTGAAAAGTTAAGCCACAGTGCAGTAAAAAATATTTGTGATACATATAAATGACAAATGACCCATATTCAAGTATAAAAATAACTAAAGTCAGTAAGAAAAAGAGATACAACCCAATAGAAAAATAAGCAAAGGATTAAACACCTTGGAAAATGGAATATCCAAATGACCAGTAAATATTTTAAAATATGCACAACCTCATTAATCACCAGAGAAGTATAAAGTATAACAACAGTGGGATACCACTATATAAACCCATCACAATGACTAAAACGAAAAGAGTTTACAATCCTAGGACAGAGAAAGCTTAGAGCAAATAGATTCTCATACAGAGTTGGTGGGAGTAGAATTGGCACAACTGTTTTCACAAAACTGACAATGTTAGCTAAAACTGGACATGCACATAGTCTGTGATAGGCCAATGCTACTACTGAACAATGGAAATGAATACATATATGGGACAAAAGATGACTGAGTGGGTGGTGTGTGTGTGTGTGTGTGTGCGCGCGCGCGTGTGTGCGTGCACCCGCATATGAATGTTTGTAGCAGTGTTGTTGGCAATAGCTACAAACCAGAAACAACCTAAATGTCAGTAGAGTGGATATGTAATTTGAGATGCTTAGAGTGGGTAATAAATTTCTGTAGAACTTGCAGAATACGAGGGCAGACATTTAGGTACAAAAGTAGTGAAATAATTTGACAAAACCCATTTAAGAGGAGCCTCCTAACAGAGGGGAGGAGAGAAAGCTCATGTACGATTTCAGAATCATGTTACAGAAAATATTGTCTGAAGGTCTCATGTGTGGTCCATGAATAATTGGGGACTTTGGGTCGAATAATGCCAATGATGAGTACATGGGCAGAAAGTCACTGGCAAGTTACAACTTTCTCCAAGTGAAAGTTCAACAAATACCTAGGAGAATGTCTCCAGGGATTATGAGGACTTTGTTCCGGGGTCAGGAAAAGCTAAATTCTCTTAAGTGCAGGCGAGGATTAAATGAAGAGGATTTACAATGAAAAGGAGAGGGAATCACCATCCAGAGGAGTAATGGAAGTCTAACAAGCACAGTGTAATTGGTCTGCAGAGATTTTATCTCTGAGGGAAAAAAAAGTGACTTCTTCCAAATCCCATCTTGCTCAGCCCTGCTCTTCCTGCAGCAGTGCTGGCCCCTGTCCTGAAGGTAAGGCGGTCATGCACAGAGGCTCTCCAGTGGGTTCTTGGACCACGAGTCAGGAAACCAGGGTTTCCTCACACACAGCTCCTCCCTAGTCTCCTGTGACAGTTGTATTGAATTTGGTTACTGAAGAGAGAAATGTCCCATTTGGGGCAGCCAAACTGAGGAGAAAGTTCTTGCAGACACCTCTGAGAAATGGAGCACCTAGCACAGGTCTTTGCATCCGTAGGAATCGCTGGGCTTAGCTACTACAGGTCACGCTCCCTGCACTGCACTGTGCCCATCAGAACCTGCGCGCTGGGAATCTGGACCCAGAGGGCAGATTTGTGCTGACTAGCTCTTTGTGCAGTGATGCTGCCCCAGCGGTATAGGTATCCATAAGGAAGCAGGGATGGAGTGGGGAGAGCAACTCTGCCAATGGACGTTCTGGGGAAATTTAAGGTTTCCAGATGGATTTTTTTTTAAAGAACGTGTGATCTTTAACTTTAGGAAGCTTTACTCACAATTCCAGGAAGAAAAGGGGGTACAGGAATGCTGTTTGTCTTTACTGTTATTGTCAGTTACAACACCTTCACCTTACCTTTGAAAGTCCATTTTAACTTCTATTTATATAACAAATTTTCAAAAAATGTTTTGAACATTTTATTTTACTTCTAAACTCAATCATTCATTTTACTATTGGTGTTGCATCCTTATTTATTATCCTCCCAACTTTCCTGCTTCCAATGAATTAGGACAGACTTGAAATTATGTTTCCTTGACCCAGAAGAAGAAACTAGGTAATGAGAGTTGAACAATATCTTTGTGGACTTTTAAGGAAAATTACTGACAAAGATCAGGATTACATTATCTTTGTCACACCCTTAACTAATTATTAGTTTTTAAGAAGTGAAAGACTTAGAACTCTGAGATCAACATCAGTCAGACTTTTCAACAAAGCCATCTTATTTGGTACCTGAGACTATATTAAATAATCATCTGTTATCTCCTGCACTTTTTTTTTTCCTTTTAACCTTCTGCTGTGAAGCTNTGACTGCTTTGTTATCTCCTGCACTTTTTTTTTTCCTTTTAACCTTCTGCTGTGAAGCTCCTTTACATAAACTATTTCGGATATTATAGCCAAATTGGAGACTACCCCTTTCCCCTTCCTCGGACTAGCTCAGAAAGGATTAGCCGAAGGAGGTCAAGTTCCACGGATGGGTCCAAGGCACAGATTTCCCCCCTTTGTGGTTACTTGTTTCACTCTTGTACCGGAGATCTCTAATGGCGATACTTTTGTATTTCAAGTATTCGTTTTTCATTAGGGACCAAAGGTAGGTTTCCTATTTCTTTGATAGAAATACTGCATAGTGACTTGCTAACCTTTTGAGGCTCTAGAGAAAATTCTAAAGAATTAAAGAACATTCTGTACTTTTACTGTCTCTCCTTGTGTATACATAAGTTATCTCTTGAAGTGAGAATTGTTTATCAAGCTTAATTTATTCATAGGTAAAGGAAGGATTGTCACATGCAGATGCCCATGGACCTTTTTCTGCTGGCTAATCCACCTCTGGCAGCTTCTTTATCTGCAGTCAGTGGCCCTTACTATCATGAATACCCTCAATACAAAGTCTGTTCTCATCACTATTCATTGGCACTGCCAGATCACAGATGGCCAGCAGATAATATCTCCTCGGGACTCCTGTGCATGGGTTTCACTTTCTTTACCCACAAGGCAGAGTAATTAGAGGGACAATATGCGGAAAACTGAGAGTGGGCTTTGTTGAGTCCATGAGGCTTTTGGAAATCACTTGTGACTTGAATAAAGGCAAACAGGATTACTAAGATTTCCGGAGAGAATTCTAGAGCACTTGAACTCTGTGAAACATTAGAGAGCTTGGGGACGGTACTGAGCAGACTAGCGTATTGCCTTCTGCCATGTGAGTCACAGTGGAGGAGGCAGTGCAAGGATGAGGGAAGACAGTTTCCTGAGTGGAGAGGGACATGGTCAAGTATTTCAGATGGGGATAAAAGGAAAGGGAAGGGCTAATCAGCAATCACTGCACTGAGTTAATTCCAATTAATTATTTACCATCATACTGTAGTCTCCAAACCATAACTGTCACTGTACAGGGTACATATGAACAGAATCCACGGGAATGCACAGCCCGCTTTCCGTGATCTGCTAGTTAACAGGCTCACATGCACAGCAAGCATTTGAGCTTGCCTCATCCTTAGGGCAGATAGTTCATGCATCCTTGCCTTCGACTTGTTTCCCGACAGTCGTGCCTTCTGTGGGCCCATACTCTGCTTCTCTTCCAGAGGGGAGGAAAGGACAGATCCCTTCCCCTTCGCCTCTCATCCAGATGAGGGACATTCAGGCGGAGAGTTTTCAAGCCTGAGCCCGGTGGCCCAGGTCTTCCTGCTTTATGCCACTGGCTCGGAAATGTAATTTTGACAATTTTTTGCTACTTAAAAAACCTAATGTATATTTGCCACCTTCTAACTTATAACCCCAAATTTCTGACTTTAAAAGGGTGAAAATTGAGTGTTTCATTATCATAGAGAATCCAGATGTAAGAAAGTCAGTTTAAAAACTGTTTCTACCTGTTCAGTTCCATTCAGTATGGATTTTCAGAGTAAGGAGAGGAAGCAGGTTTCCAACACAGAAGTAAACAAACTCCAGGGTCAGGAATTGGTTCTTACAAGAAGGGTGTTTTACAGCTAATCTTTTAACTCAAATGTCTAAGCATTTTAATAAAACCTTTCCTACTTAAGGGGAAGAAAATAATTTCATTTTCCTCTTGAACCTGAGCCACATGACTGGGTTGTACTGTGGTCCCAGACCCCGAAGGAAACGATTTGGGAAACCTCACCAATTAATATTAGATGGCTGTTTGATCTCAATGACCTTATCGGGCCCTCTGCCACCTTACGTATCTGGAACTTATTGACTTATAACTTGGGTTTTGTCTTCAGAGACTCATGGGCAGGAAGAACCAGACATGGGTGAGTGAGTTCATTCTCCTGGGCCTGTCAAGCTGCTGGGAGACTCAGGTCTCCCTCTTCTTCCTTTTCCTGGCCATGTACCTGGTGACCATGCTGGGGAACTTTGTCATCCTCTTCCTTATCAGACTGGACAGCAGCCTAAACACACCCATGTACTTTTTCCTCGGTGTCTTGTCATTTGTGGACATCTGTTACACCAACAGCACTGTCCCTCAAATGCTCGTTCATTTCCTCACAGCCCGGAAAACCATCCCATTCCGCAGCTGTGTGCTCCAGCTCTGTGTGTCCCTGGCATTGGGCGGCTCCGAGTTCCTCCTGCTGGGAGCCATGGCCTATGACCGCTACGTGGCGGTGTGCCACCCGCTGCACTACACAGCCATCATGCATGGAGGGCTGTGCCTGCGGCTGGCTGCCAGCTGCTTGGGGGCTGGTTTCATGAACTCACTGATGGAAACGGCCATCACCTTTCAGCTACCTTTGTGCCGTAATGTTATTAATCACTTTGCTTGCGAGACGTTGGCTGTGCTGAGGCTGACCTGTGTGGACATCTCCTTCAACATGGCCATGGTGGCCGTCTCAGGATTTCTGGTGATCATGCTTCCCTGTTCCCTGGTCCTCTTCTCCTATGGTCATATAGTTGCTGCCATTCTGCGTATTCGCTCTGCCCAGGGGCGTAGCAAAGCCTTTGGGACCTGCGCCTCCCACCTCACTGTGGTGTCCATGTGCTTTGGGGCTACCATCTTCACCTACCTGGGGCCACGGCCGGCTTCCTCAGTGCAACAGGAGAAGATGGTTGCTTTATTCTATGCTGTGGTGGCACCTATGTTGAACCCCTTGATCTACAGCCTGAGAAATAAGGAAGTTATGGCCGCTCTCCAGAAAGTTTTAGAGAAGCTCAGAGATAACAGATAAAGACTGTAAGAACTTCTTATCTAGCATCAAAACAAAAAGGAGATCACATTTACACTGAAGAAGACTATTATGGTAGTATCCTTGCTTTAGAATGAATATTCCTCCACCTGATGAATGAATTTCCTTACCTAGGACAATACCAGATACTTTATGTCAGTGATCCATGAGAGAACCTCGTCTTAGATCATCTTGTCTCAGGTATCCAGTGGCATTTAGACTGCATCTGACCATTTTTGGTTTTACTGGTATATCAAAGTCTAAAGGAATCATCTGTGACTTCTTCAGGCAGACCTGGTTGGTGGAATGAAGAGATAGATGAATTCCACAGATTAGGTCTTCTTCTACCTTGTGGAATGGAATGGAGAATGTCCGCTCCTCTTCCACTTGACAATACTCCAGTTATTTGTAGAACAACCTTATTTCCTCCAGGTTAATAAAAATAATTTCTCCAACTCTTTCTCAAATGATGGCAATTTTTAACTCTCAACATCACTTATGTCCTAATCTAGAATGTGATACCATATCCTAAAGTGAAGAATACATGGTTACAATATTTGTTCAGACCAGCATATCACATTTCAGTTGCTTTTCAAAAAGCAAATTTATTTTTAATATGCAGAATACCTGTGGCTTTACTATAGTCTTTTTTATTGTGGTAAAATATATATAACATAAATGTTGCCACTTTAGCCATTTTTTAAATGGCACAATTCAGTGGCGTTAATTGCATTTAAAAATGTTTGCGAGCATCACCATATCTATTTCCAAAATTATTCATCACCATAGTCTTTTATTTAACTAATTTTCTAAGACCTGTTTTCTATAAACTGGTTATGAAGTCTTCACACCCATTGCACTCTTTTTTTAACTTAAATGTAGCTCTGCTAATTGTTGTTATTGACTTTCACCTACCACACCAACCTGCCAAAATTATTTTGAATTTTGATTATCCAATTCCATTACTTTGCTTTCTCTTTCTGTTCCGTAGATATAATAAGCAGAAAAAGGTATAAAAAGGAATACTAAATAGTACATGTCAGTTATTTATCACTGTGAACCTACCTGCAGGTAGCAAAAATAGGTCCAGATGCCATTTAATTGGAATCATATAGTATGTAGCCTTTTCAGATTGGCTTCTTTGCCTTAGTAATAATATACATTTAAGTTTCCTCCATGTCTTTTCATGGGTCAATAGTTCATTTCTTTTTGGAACTGAATAATATTTCATTATCTGTATGTACCACAGTTTATCCATTCACCTACTGAAAGACACCTTGTTTGTTTTCAAATTTTGGTAATTATGAATAAAGCTGCTAGGTTTTGTGGACATATTTTCAACTCCTTTGGGTAAATACCAAGACACACAATTGCTAGATCATATGGTAAATGTATATTTAGTTTTGTAAAAACCCACCAAACTGTCTTCTTAAGTGGCTGTACCGATTTGCATTAGCAGCAGTGAGCGAGAGTTTCTATTGCTCCACATTTCACCAGCAATTGGTGCTGTCAGTGTTCTGGATTTTGGCCATTCTAACAGGTGTGTAGTAGTATTTCATTTTTGTTTTCATTTGTATTTCCCTGACGACATATTACTCGGAGCATCTTTTCATATGCTTATTTGTCATCTGTAGGTCTTTGATGAAGTGTTTGTTAAGGTATTGGGCCATTTTTTAATCAGGTTCTTTGTCTTCTATTTGTCAAGTTTTAAGATTTCTTTGTATATTTTGGGTAACAGTTATTTATCAGATATGTCTTCTGCAAAAACTTTATTCCAGTGTGCAACTTGTCTTTTCATTCTCTTGACATCATTCACTTTTAAATGGTGACAGAAGTACATACTTACATATGCAAGAACTCAGTGAAATTATTGCCCATTCACCCTTTAAAAGACTAAAAACAATTACAACAAAAACGTGAAAACAACTTCAGCCAATAAAAAAAAAGGTTCAAAGTAAAGGACTTGGGGCATGAAAATTAAGCTGTGTTAGGACAGGCAATAAGCCAAAACCTTCTAAGTATAAAATTAAGCTTTGAAAGCTATAAATTTTTATGTGTTGAAAGTGGAGAAATAAAAGCCAGAGTAATAAGTACAAAATAAAGCTACCGCCCCTATGGGATATGAAGACTTGGATAGAACCCAGTCGAGAAAGAGGTTTTAATTAGATGTGATTAGTCACTTTCTTTTCAGAGATTATCCCAGGCAGCATTGGCATGCCTCACAACCCTTCATCTGGACTTTTCTCTCCATTTGGCCTGTGCATCCGACCCACGTGCTAACCTCCTATGACACCACGAACGTTCTTAATTGTCTCCTCAAACTCGTGCTCCGTGTGCAGCAAAAGGCTCTCTGCCCTGCGTGTCTCCCTTGAGTGCGTCCTCCCCTCTTGCCCTTCTTAGCCCTGGCTGTTCACGGAGAACTCCGATTCCCCTTAGCGCTCTCGAATGCGGAGCCTTCGCCTCCCCTGTTTCCTCTGCTGGTGTTTAGAAAGGTGGAGACAGTGTCTTTCCTGATCCTGCCCCTTCCAGACCGTGGCTCTTTACTTTTCTCTAAATAACTCCAGCTCCTTTGAAGCATATGCTGTCAAGCTACTGCCCCATCAGCCTCCCCCTTTCATCATTTACCACCCACCCTCTTGATTTTACCCTGGTAAGGCCAATTCTGCCACCACGTATGGGAATTTCTGCATCTTTGCACATCCATTCACATCGTGGCTTCTCAGGTAGTTAGTTGACTTACCTCCTTCCAATGCTTTTGACCTCTAACCCACTCTTGGTTATTTATTTCTGTGTTTATACTCTAGACCTTTCTATTGCCAATAATTGTACTACCTCTAACATATGCATATCTAGTTCCCCGCTCTGACCACTCCGTCCGATTCCTGTCTTTCCAGTTTACACCATGTAACATAACTCCAACAATTTTTGTCCCCACCTTGACCTCTATTACATGAACCCATTTTTCTCGTCTATTACTACCTGCAACACTGTCTTGTTACCCCCCCTTTCCCAGTGTTGTAGAGTCCATGCAAACTTGTATGATCATTCTTTCCATGTCCTCTGTGGTCATCCCAAGGATATTGCATTTGCAGTTAACTCTCCTCTCCTTCATCCAGAGTAGATTTGCCATCAAGCTAATAAACTAAAGCTTTAGGTTCCCTTGCTTGTCCAAATGGTGACTAGATAATAAACTGTGGTAACATCCTACTCAGCAGTAAACACATACACCTCCCCCCATGATCGAAAAACCTGGACATAACAGCAGATAGAAGACTGAGAAAAAGGAGGCCTACAACCAAGGGATCCTAGGACCTGAGGGACAACATGGCAGTGAGCTCCTGGGTTTCCTGATCTCCCATGTATCCTGGACAGGGGTATGAAAAATTCTCCAACCTAGAACTGCTAACAGGTATAGACAAAAACAGTTCCAAGAACCTAAATAGCTGAATTCCAGGATGAGTTAGTGTCAGTATGCCATGGACGACAGGCAGTTTGTATCTGCTGAACATCTCCAACCTATTTGAGATAATTTGTGTGAAATTTGGACGTCACCCTTCGTGTATACAGGATCACAGTCACAACAATTCATAGAGCCCTCTCACAGCAGATGGGCTTCCCTATCTTTGACGACATGTGCTCCCCTTTTCCATCCTTCTTCCCCCGCTGCCAGCACAGCAGGAGACCAGACATGGTTAGCACAACTGTGTTTGGTGGGCACTCTGTCATTTCCATTTCTATTAGTGACCACCACATTACAGTATATTTAAATCCATGTTGGAAAATTGTGGTTAATATCAAATTATATACTCCAGAGGATGTCAGAGTTTTTCCCAGGATTTTGAGATAAATTGAGGCCAGAGATATGAAAATTGCTTTATTTTTATTTGCTGCACTTTGGTTTTCATACTTCAGTCCTATAAGAAAAGCTATATTGAAGGCTGCTCCTTGCCATAAACAAATGTAGCAGATGGAGTTGTTTATAACTGCTACTATTTCCATTTACCATTTCATGAAAGCACAGTGAATCTGACAGCTTTCCTTCCTGGGAGCGCTGCTTCCAAGGTCAGCAGATGATAGCGTAGTGATGTTTGGTAAACTAGAGTATTGTCCCAGAACATGAAATATTGGTCAAGTGGCCCCCAAAGGCAGTTGACAAACTAAAGATGACCCCATCACATGATGAACTTATTTACACAAAATTGTGGCACAAGTGTTTATAGCAAAGACTTTAGTTTAAAAATGTACTGAAGTGTAGCAATATAAACTTCCTTTGGGTATTAATATCTACCTTGAAGCACTGATACAACCTTCCTGTTTCAAGTAAACTGAAGATTGCATAATAATCTACAATCTGAAAATAGATTTAAAAGTAATAATTTTTCTCATGTTTAAACAAAGAATAAATTAAAATGTGGTTCTTTTCAAAGCATGTGGCCATAAGTAGATTCCTACCCCACCCTCTGTGGAACTAATATTATATAAAACAAATAAGACTGTCACACAGGTGAATAGAAAATTTTCATGGCTCCCACAAGAGGCCTGAACTGCCATCATCAGGATTCTTTTCTCCTGGGTCCTTGCGAAGATGTAGGGAAAATCTTGCTACCATATAAAGCTCTCAGACTCCAAAGATTTTCACAGCTCGAGGTGCCCAAGACACTGCCACATCCCCAGGACGGTGATGGGTGCTCTGCCCCCAGGGTGCTCTGAGAGCCAGCTTGGTGCCGTGCTCCTCGAGCCTTGGGCTCCCCTCTCACCCAGGCCTGGCTGGCAGTGTGGAAGCAGTTGGGTAACCTGTGCCCATTCGCTCCCCCCAGGCTTAGAGACTGGGCTCCTCACATCTGCTCAGTACCTGACTGTTTTTTTCCTACTTCTTCGTGTTTTGGAATCAGTGAAGAATTTCTGTTCACATTCTAGCCTGCCAGAGGCTTCTGAGTCGAGGTAAGTGTCCCCTCCCAGGGCATCACTTTCTGACTTTGCAGGCAGCTCCGTGGCACAGCAGT